TTATTATTAAAAATATAGTCAATTTCTATTGGGCAGTGTTGGTCTAAAGTGAAGGGCAGAATTAGGAAAAAAAAAACAACCCAGGAACCTAGAGTTAAATTTTATGATACAGAGACTTTGAAGAAAATCCAGGGTAAGGAAGCATACATGGATGTTCTGTTTAATTTCATATTCAGATGGTGAGAAACCTGGAGAACAAGGAAAAGGCACTCTTGAACCAACAAGTCCATGTGTTCAATGAACCATAAATTTATTCAAATAAAACATTCCTTGATCATTAAGAAGGAAGATGTTTTATGACATAAGAGTTGCTAACAAGGAACAGAGCAGGGCTTTGTCCAGAAATTTTTATTCCATTAATTTTTATAGTATATCACAGAACAAATGTCAGAGCGTTTCAGCATGGGAAGGGGCCTTAGAGATTATCTAGCTTGATTCCCTCTACTGATAGAGGAAAAACTTCCCTTTGGTCACACAACTGGTTCACAACTAAGCAGGCCTGCGATTTCCATGCTTTGACTACTTCCTCATATCCATGTTCTCCAGTAAATGCTCCCCATTAATCCCAAAATGAGGAGTGCTGGTAGCACAGTGGTAAAACAAAAGACTGCTAACTGAAAGCAGTTCGAACCCACCAGCTGCTCCGCAGGACAATGATGAGGCAGTCTGCTTCAGTAAAGATTTACAGCATTGGTAACCCTACAGGCCAGTTCTACTCTGCCTATAGAGTCACTATGAGAGTGAATAGACTCAATGGTAACAGAGAATCCCAAGACACCCCACAACACAAGGTCTTCAGAAGGCATGACTCCATCTTAAATATAAGACAGTCTTAGAATGACAGTGCCTTTTTAGTCACTCAAGCTTCAAATGGAACTCACCTGCTTTTCTCTGAAGGAACGCTTATTTTTTGACCGGACATTCTGGCTATACCGCATCATCATAAAATTCTTCTGTTTTTTCTTCTCTTTATTTGTGGAACTTGAAAATGGATTCATTTTGGTTTTCTTCCTCACAAATTCTTTTCTATCTGTCTTTCCAGCCTATCAACATAAAAATTATTTCTTAAAACACACCTCAAGGAGTTGTCTAATCAACATATACATCTACTCTATGGTTGCCAAGGACACAAAGATGGATAGAACACAGTCCTTGTTGCCCAGCGATTCAGTACTACTGAATGCAGTACTGAATGCAGGGCAGAAATGACTATGATGTATTGTAATGGAGCCAGAGGAGGTTAGAAGAAAAAGTCGTAATTCAGCCTGGTGAGGGAAGGCCAGATGAGCTTACCAGAGGGGGAAGACATGTCAGCTGTGTTTTTGCAGGATGAAGGTATTCATAGTGGAAGAAAGAAGGGGAAGGGTGGAACATTCCAGGGAATAGGGACAGTATAAGAAAGGTGTGGAGGAGAAAGTGCAGGGGTTTAAAATGTATCTAAACAGTATCAGGACAATGCAATGCAAAGGGTATTGTGAGGCCAGTATGGGGAGGTATCTAAGATAAATAAAGATACAGAAAATGTAGTTCAGAATATAGGCAGAACATGATTATGAACAGCCATAGCACTTGCCAGAGGCAGATTCCAGTGGTCTGTTTGGCTTTTCATTAAAGATGGTAAACATTTCTGTTAGCTTTGATAAATATCCTAGGCTGCCATGATACCATGAACACGTAATACTGTATCTTGTTAGGGTGGTGATGACATGGGTACATACAATTGTCAAACTCATCTAAGTTAACACCTAATTTCTGTGCATTATTTCTTGATTATAAAAATTATAATATTCTTGCTTATAATTATACCTTGATTAAAATAATATTTTTTACTTTAAATACTGCCATTCGGTGCTGCACAAATTCTGGGTCATTGTTCATTTTACTTGTTTTCTTTAAAAAAAAAACTAGGGGAACAATATACTCACCATTGCAGTTGCTAATCTTGTCTCCTTGTCAGACTTTGGTTTTTTATGAAGGCGTTCAATGTCTCGAAGTGAAAGTAATTCGCCCCTGGGGTTGAAGGAAAAAAAAAAAAAGAAAAAAAAAAAAAGCTATGCAATTTCTTTCTGTAACACTTGCATTACTATGACAGCAGAGTGATGATCTGGTGTATGCTCCATTTACCTGGGCTCCTCATCACTGTCTATTTCAATACATTTCCTCTTTTCTGCTTTCCCGGGGGCAGCACTGAGTTCTTTTCTCAATTGGGCCATGCGGATTTTCTGGAAGTCTTCCTGAGTTAAAACCCGACTAGTGCTAATGGCTGCAGCTTTGGCTTTCCGCTCCTCCATGGGCATGCTGTTCAGCTTCTTGGACTTGAAAGCACACAAACAAAGGCTTAAGTGGCTACCAGTGCAAGTGGAGCTGAGACATTCAAATTCTAAACCCTACAAGGCCCAGCAAAAATGAAAACTTAGTACATCAGAGTGGTGGACTGATCAAAGGAAACGTTGAAACTTACAATTTCTTGCTGTTCTTCATCAGAAGAGTGGTGCACGTCAACCCATTCACCATCATCATCTTCATCTTCACTGAGACTGGCACTTTCCCATCCATCTGTGAGAAAAAGAGCATCTTGTTATTAGTACCACTTTAATGTTAGGTACTCCAGTATGTTGAGAAAAATCAAGCCAAAGAAGTCAATGAAACTCAAAATAAAGTTCCACTGATCAAGAATTAAGCAATGTTTGTTAAATAAGCTACATCAATTTAATTAATTACAGGAATGGGGAATAAGCACCAAGCAAGTATCTACCATGTCCCTGGAGAAGGATATCATGCTTGGTAAAGTAGAGGGTCAGTGAAAAATAGGAAGACACTCAACAAAATGGAATGACACAGTGGCTATAACAATGGGCTCAAACATAACAAGGACTGTGACATGGTGCAGGACTGGGAACTGTTTCATTCTGTTGTAAACAGGTGTCACAATGAGTTGGAACCAACTCAACAGCACATAATGACAACAACAAAGTGTCTACCATATGTCAAAACCTCACAATCAGATTCTCTAATCCCTCACCTCTCAACAGAAGAAATTCTTCAGAACTCTCAGTCCCGAGCCACACTGCTAGAAAATGCAGCCTAAATCAAATCATGAAAATCACTTCTGACTCTAGAGCCACTGCTCTCTCCAAAAAGTCGACATTAATCAAATCTGTACTTGTACATTTATCTTGGTCACACAGCAAGTATTCAATTTGTTTAATCATATTTATACATTTATCTGTATGAGAAATCAGTTAGAAATAGTCATTCTGAGTAAAAAAATTTTGATGTGAAGGAACTTTACAGAAGTCTGAATAAAGAGGTATTAATGTTCTTCAAGAAGCCACCAAAGTAAGCTTTCTAAATCAGAAATACTTATAATCAATCCCTCACCTTGTAATCCACATTCTAATAGTTCCCTATGTCCTTCAAGATTTTACTCACACTTTGCCTGGAAAGTCTCCACTAACACCTGCCTCATCATTCAAAATAAAGTTCATGGCTCACCATCTCTCTAAAGCCTTTTTGAACCTGACCTCTCTCTTGAGCTTATGCTCCTACTCCAATCATAAATCCTGTTAGCATTTTATTGCTCAGTTATTTATGAGCAATAAAAGGGCAGGAACCATATTAGTCATCTTTGGACTGAGTGTAGCAGGCACACAGCTAATGCTTAAGAAAGTTATGGTGAAATAATGAATGAATGAGCAGGAGTAAGAGAGGACTGTGGCAAATGCTGCTAACCCTGGAAATCAGAATGGTGTTCCTCAAGCATTCTTCAACATGAAGAATTTGGGGTAACTGCTCCTAAGGCTAACTCTCATCATTCTTCAGGCAACAAACCCCAAAACCATTATTTTTCCCAAATGCCAAAGAGCATGCCTTTGATGTAAAGGGCAACATCAAAGGTGCCTCCTACACTTGAAAGTAAGTGCCATTAAGAGTAGGAATCATGTCTGTTTGAACCCCAGCTTAGAATGTTGCTTGGCATGTAGTCATCATTCAACAGGTATCTACTGTGGGAATGATTTTTCAAACAGCATAAAGATTTAAAGGTTAACATAAAAATAGCAGGAATGACTCTGCCTTAAGTAATAGTGAAATAAAAATGGACCTTCATCATTTTCAGCATTCTCTTCCTCTTTCTCAACTTCCAGAACTTCTGCTCCTGGAATGTAATCTTTAGCATCTAATTCTCCATATTCTTGCACTCTTGTTTCTATTGAGGCCTCTGTAGGCTTACCCTAAAGGAAAGAAAACTGTTTATGACAAGGTGCTCAGATTGCAAAACGTTAATCACAAAGAGGGATACTCAAGGATTATGAATTGAGAAAAGAAAATCATGAAAAAAAAAATGGAGGAATGACAAAAACAGTCCACTTATCTCTCAGATCAAAGTTAAATTCCCACAGTCACAACTCTGGTCTCTAATTTCTCATTCTCTTTTGATCCAGATGAAGAAATTGGTGTTATTAGAGAAAAACTGCCCTGATTTTTAAGTCTCAATATCACCATCTCTTTCTATTATATACTCACTGCTCCTTCCTCCCAACTAGACCTGTTCTTCAGTAATGCTGTCAGCTACTGACTGATTCCATTCTAGTTATGATGACAAAAGCTTTCAACAGGACTACAAGTCTCAGTCATCATCAAAGGGCATGTGTCAACTACGAAATATTTAAGGTAGTGGTATTATTATCAATCAGTTGTATTTTGAGCTTAAAGAATAAGAATGTGTGCATCACTGCCACTTATAATGGAAGCACCACAAATACTAAAATTCAAATCATAGGAAATTACTCTCACCTCCTGAGACCATACCCCTCAATCAATATAAGCATACATCACTTACCCGGAATTTCTTGTGCAACATCTGAGGATTCAGTGTTCGGAACAGCTGAATCAAAGTTCTAGCAGACATCATCACATCTGTGAAATAACACCTTGAATGAGAAACTCTGGAGCAAAGAGTATACCAAGGGAAAAGTGAGCCACTGTGAACTCTTTGGTTTGCAGAAAATAACATGCAACTTACTCTTATCTTTGTGTGTTTTATACTGGGCCAGGTCTTGGAGAAGTTCTTCAGTCATGGCTAAAGGACATCGAGCTGTTATCTCTTTTATAGCATTGATTCTGGAAAAAGAAAATGAATTTAAAAAAAGAAAAATCAGCAATTTCAACCTTCAACCTAAGGAAGTTTCTTAAAAAACTAAATCAAGAGGAACACAAGTTGGATTTAATATGGCTTATGTCTCTAAAACTGCAGCATGACAGACAATGTGAGGGGGGCTGGGAGAGTGGGAGGAGCCTTAGAGGACTTCACTGCCATCTGGTGCCAAGGATACTAAATTGTGGCAGCATTTACTCTCCATTTCTAAGGGAGAAGGGACCAGGTCAAAAAGAAAGGTTAAAAGTCTGCAGGGCTATTATGCCAGCAATATTTTCTAAGGCAGAAAAAAAAGGTAACTGTTTAGCATCAGGACAGATTAGACAATTCTTAAACCAGTGTTCACATTCATTAAGTGTTTTTGAATTTTGAAAAAAAAGGGTCACTGAATTGCCTTGGTATTAAAAAGTGACTCAACAACAAATCAATTGTTCCAGTGGAATATATGAATGCAGAGCAGCAGATAGGAGAAAAACATCTAGATTACTAAACAATCATTCATTTGAAAGCATAAAGCTGGTAAAAAGACAAAAGGTTGATTAGAATGACAAGTGTCTTTTCTCCTACTCTCTCTTTAAAATTCTGACCAATAAAACAAAAATGCCAAGCCTCCTAAGAAAATGGTAGTATATTTTAAACAACTGTTTTTCTAGAAATTACATTGTCAAATGAAAATCTTACATCTCGATAAGCAAGCTCTACTTAAACCAAACCTAATGTATTTAAACAACAACAACAACAACAACAACACATCCACTTCCAACCACACTCTACATACCCTACTGTCATAACTTCACCAGAGTTCTTGTCAGTAACAAAATTGTTGGCCACAGTCATTAGCAATGACTGAATGATCTGAAAAGGGGATATAAGAAACGAGTTGTGATAAAATGTCTGCACCTATTCAAATATTGAGCACATATGATTTGACAAATATTATTCACAGAAGATATACAGTCCCCAACCTTCAGTTTGGGAGTGGGAAGAATCACGACTGAAGAAGATAGATGAAAAGTACTCCACCTAGGGATTCAGCCTTCAGGACTATCCTCAGGCTACATTTTACTCTCATTTAACATTATTTTTCAATACAAATGAAAAAAGAACATGGTTTAATCCAGGATTAACACAGTGTTGTGTTAATCAAAGACAGGAATTGACAGCTTTGAGGAAAAATTACTATTACTTACTATTCTTGACTTCCCCTAATCATATTTGCTTATGAAACAGAATTAGACTCCATGGCTCAACTTTCAGCCAAACAATACAGGGCAGTAACGGCAGGGAGGTATGTACTCCCTAGAACACGCAATCACACAGGATCAATAAGGCCTCATTTGCCCAGCTCAGAAGACAGGAATGGGTAGGAAAGGAGGACAAAAGGAAATGGTAACTCATGGGGGGAATGCTGTTACTTTGTGGGGACCATAATCAACAACACAAAACAAAATGTGTATTAACTGTTGAATGGGAAACCCATTTGCTAAGTTTTCAGCTAAATCACAATGAAAAGGTGAAAAAAAGGGTGGGGGGAGCGTTTAGCTCACTTATACTCACTTTAAAAAAAAATAAAAGGAAAGAAAGCTCTGTGGAAAAAGTTACCTCAATGTTACCCAATAGCAACACCGTTATTTGGGTACTAACCAAACCCACTGCCATCAAGTCGATTCTGACTCACAGCAACCTTCTCGGTTTCCAAGGCTGTGAATCTTTACAGAAGCAGATTGCCTCATCTTCCTCCCAGACAGCAGCTGGTGGGTTTGACTACCAACTTTATGGTTAGCAGCCAAGTGCCTTACCCACTATGCCACCAAAAACCAAACCAAACTCAACACCATCGAGTCGATTCTGCCCAGAAGGCTGAATCCCTAAGTGGATTATTTTTCATCTGTCTTCCTCAGTTGTGATTCCTTCCACCTCCCAACTCCTTAATTCAGGTATTAGAGATCCAAAAATACGGCTTAAGGATGCTCACCTCTGGGGGAACCAGGTGATGAGATGCTTGTGCGGCAAACAGAAGGATCTTTGTTACTTCTGAAAATGGGAGAGAGAAGAAAGATGATAATGTTTCTCACTCTGCCTCTTAGGCCTGGAACCAACATATTGGTATGCATGTTCTGCCTCAATGCTGTTTACTAACCCCCATATCTGCACGGCTCACCCCATCACCTCCTTCAGCCTCTGCTCAATTGTTGCCCTATCAAAAAGGTCTTTCTGGATCATACAATTCAAAATAGAACCTGCCCCAGTACTCATTATTCTCTTATCCTGCTTTTTCTTCCAAACATTTCTTTCACTTGGAGAGAGAGATAGATAGATAGATAGACAGACAGACAGACAGACGGATAGATAGGTGGATGGATGGATGGATGGATGGATGGAAACTCTGGTGGGTGTAGTGTCTAAGGCATTTGACTACTAACCAGAAGGCTGGTAGTTCAAACCCACCAGCCACTCCTCAGAAGGGAGGGCAATCTACTTCCATTGTGATACTGCCTCGGAAACCCAAGGAGGGGTTGTTATGAGTTGAATTGACTCGATGGCATTGAATTTTGAGTTTTACGTATATATACAAATATACACACACCTATAGCAATGTCTGTATTTTCCCTCTAGAATGAAAGCTTTGTGAAGGTAAGGACTTGGCTCTATATTCACTGTGGAACTCCTAGTATCTAAAGCAATGACCAACACAGAAAGCACTACATATTTGTTGAATGAATAAATATAAACAAATGCATATGTACACATATACAAACTCTCCCATCAAAAGAGCAGCACAGTGTATGTAAAAAACAAGGTCTCTGGCAAAAGAAAGAAACTAGGGTTTGCTGTTTATTTGCTGAGTGACCCTGGTCTTTTTCTTTCTTTTCCTACACCTCACAGGACTAATGTGAGGATTAGATGAGAAGATGTATGTAAAGCAACTAGCCCAGTGCTTGGCTCATGTTATGTACTCACTGTGTATTACCTTCCTTCCTACCTTGGTTCAAGCTCAAAAGCAAAACAGCCATCACTTCTTCCCTGCTTGTATGTTCTTTTTAATTGAGGACATATATGAGGGCAATGATAGTACTAAGATAAAATATTTTTATCTGTTACAAAGTTATAGGAAAAGATCAAACTTCCTTTTTAGAATTTTCCACATGAACATTTATGGTATTATAAAAACACCTGACTTGGCAGTACAGACAACAAATATGAACCCTTTTGCATATATAGTACTGAGTTGTCAGTGAAGGCAAACAGGGGTATATGGATGGATAGATAGGTGGACAGGCTAAACAATTAGGTATGTCTAAATGGGGAGTGTATCCAACATCATATATAGGGTTGGCAGACAATGGTCCT